CATGGCTCTGTACTCCCTGTAGCTGGGAAGTCAGAGGGTTGGGCCTTTCTGGTGTCCAGCACACACATCTCTTGGATATCCTCATTCTTTCTGAATGGTTTTGACCATCTGTCCCTCGGCAGGGTCCTCAGGGGCATCACCTCTTCGTGGGTGCTCCCTGAGGTGTCCCGAGCTGGGCAGACCCTGGCCCCCCTCCATCCGGCATGTGCTGGGATCTGACTGGCATCTCTCCCTGCAGGCCTACAACATCCACGTGAACGGGGTGTTGCACTGCCGGGTGCGCTACAGCCAGCTCCTGGGGCTGCATGAGCAGGTAGGGAAGAGGGGGGGAGCTGCTCTGCCCACTCCTGCTCTGTGATGTCCAGGCTGGGTTCTTGCACACTGCTGGTTGCTCACATGGATAAGGGATGCTGGTGAGCTCTCTGCTCCCCTTGCTGGGTCCCTGGGAATCAGCTGTAGTGGGGGCTCAGGGCAGCCACCACGTCCAGGGAGGTTCTCGCAGCACTCTTCTCTTTTCCCAGTTGAGGAAGGAGTATGGCGCCAACGTGGTCCCAGCCTTTCCCCCAAAGAAGATCTTCACGCTCACCCCGGCGGAGGTGGAGCAGCGACGGGAGCAGCTGGAGAAGTACATGCAGGCTGGTAAGCTGGGCCTGCCCCAGCCCAGTCGTGCAGGGCACTGGGGAACTGCCCATGGCTTCCTCCTGAACTGCTCCATTCACCAGGGCCCATCTTGGCACTCCCAGTGTCTCACGCTGGCATTAGCTGGCCTTGTCCTCGGGATGCCAGCTGCTGTCCCAGCCCCTGCCCTGCACGGGGTCCCCGGCTGCCCCAGCACAGTCTGGGGGCAAACCGAGGAGCGCAGAGGGGCTGGGCACTGGTGAGGGTCCCTGTCCCTTCTCATGGGAGTCCTGATTCCTCGCTCCCCTTCCCACAGTGCGGCAGGACCCAATGCTGGGAGGCAGCGAGACCTTTAACAGCTTCCTGCGCAAGGCCCAGCAGGTGAGGGTGGGGCCAGGGCCGAGGCCCTCAGGCTGCACCAAGGGGCCGGGGTGCCATTCCTGCTTCTCTCTTCAGGAGACACAGCAGATCCCTACGGAGGAGGTGGTGCTGGAAGTGCTGCTCTCCAATGGGCAGAAGGTCAAGGTCACCATCCTCACCTCGGACCAGACGGAGGACGTCCTTGAGGTGCCAGAGCTCTCATGCTGGGTGTGACCAGCTCCTCCTGCTGGATTCTGTGGTTTCCCACGTGTGCGGTTCTCGCAGCCCAGCAGCCCCCTGGCCCTCCCTGCCACATCCCCACCCCAGAGCAGGGTTGACTTGGTGGGACTGAAGAGCTAGGAGCTGGAAAGGATGTGTTGATGGGTGTCTCTGGGGCCAGACTGATGTTGAGGGGGCCCCCAGCTGTTTCCTGGTGGCAGTGACACCCCAGGCCTGGCCTCAGGGCAGCAGAGGTGCGGGTTTCCTGCTGTTGAGAGGCCCCAGAAAGCACATGGGCTGGGTCCAGCTGCAGGGTCAGGATGTAGGAGTGCCACCTCTCTCGGGAAGTGGTGACCTCTTGCTCTCACTCCCAGGCTGTAGCCTCCAAGCTGGATCTGCCAGATGACCTGGTCGGCTACTTCAGCCTCTTCCTAGTGAGAGAGACCAAGGATGGAGCTTTCTCCTGTGAGTAGAGCCCACTGCAGTGGACGTCTGCCCTGCGCCCTGCCCGAAGTGAGGGCTGTGTGCTTGGACCCTGCCCTGGGTGGGAGGCCCAGCGGGTTGTGCCAGGTGCCCTGGCTGAAGGGTCTGGGAGGCACTGCTGCCCTGAGCCACTCCTGAGCTGGTGTTTCCCCACAGTCGTGCGGAAGCTGCAGGAGTTTGAGCTGCCGTACGTGTCAGTCACGAGCCTGCACAACCCCGAGTTCCGGATCATCCTGCGCAAGAGGTGAGTGGGGGGCTGGGGGGCAGCAGTGGGGTGCTGTCTGAGGCTCCCTGTTCAGCAGAGGGACCCTGCTCTCCTGCCACTTCTGCCCACGGGTGCTTTGGCCTCCGGGGACGCACCTGGCTATTACACCGGGGCATGGGCTGCCCTGCTTGGCTCAGCCCATTTCTGCTTTCCCATGGCAGCCTGTTTAGAGGGGAGCAGGGTGCGGTGACCGATGCTTACAGGGGAGCTGGCCAGACAGTCAGCCCAGTGCCTCGTCCCACAGGAGGATGATTTTCTCCCCATCGCTGTTAGGAGCTGGGGAATAGGTTGATCCATGTGGTTCCCTTCCAGCTACTGGGACTCAGCCTATGATGATGATGTGATGGAGCATCGTGTGGGGTTGAACTTGCTTTATGCGCAGGTGAGGGTCGGTGTGGCCCGGCCAGGTGACAAGGGGCACTGCACCCCTCAGCCACGGCTGTGTGTGGGCTCGGGTGGCTCTGAGCCCAGCCGCTCACCAGCCTCTGCTGCTTGGTAGACGGTGTCGGACATCGAGCACGGATGGATCGTGGTCAACAAGGAACAGCACCGGCAGCTGAAGTCCTTGCAGGAGAAAGTCTCCAAGAAGGAGGTAGGGGAGGGCAGGATGCCATGACTGGAGCGGTCCTGGTGCTGCATCAGCCCCGCTCCCGTGTGACGTGTGGTGGCAGGTTGGTCACCTGCTCCTGGCCCGGGTGGCTGCTGAGCATCCCCGGATCTACCCACAGTTCATCCGCCTGGCGCAGACTCTCAAGTACTACGGCTATCTCAAGTTTGACCCCTGCATCACTGACTTCCCAGAGAAGGGCTGCCATGTCGTCGTCAGCGCCGGCAACAATGAGCTCAACTTCCAGGTGCGGCTGCCGAACGAGCAGATCAAGGAGGGCAGCTTCAAGGTCACGCGCATGCGTTGCTGGCGGGTCACATCCTCGGTAAGTGACGCTTGGGGAGCGGGGGGGGGCTGGGGGGGCTGGAGGGATGTGGCTGTGCCACCTCTCCTCAGGAAAGGTGCTGGCTCTGATGGCGGCTTCCAGCCCAGCAGGCCTGGGGAGGGTCTGAGTTGTGCCTTGGGGCTGAGGGGATCATTGGTGTGAGGACGTTCAAGGGGCAAGAGGGGAGCTGATGGTGGTGGAAGGCTGGTCGGCACCTGACTGAGCACTGCCCTCGGTCTGCACTGGGGCCCAGGGAGCTGCCACTTCCCCTCTGGAGGCTCCCAGCCTCAGCGTTTGCCCTTGCAGGTGCCGATGAGCAATGGTCCCTCGGGGAGCAGCCCGGGGAAGTCCGAGGTGAAGCTGGAATTGGCCTTTGAGTACCTGATGAGCAAGGACCGGTTGCAGTGGGTCACCATCACCAGCCCACAGGTAGGACTGCCTGGATGCTGGTCTGGCAGTGGCTGTGGGGAAGAGGGTCGGTCTGGGCCTCGTGTGGGTGTGGGAAGTGTGTGGGGTGTGTGGAGCCCTGTGACACCTCTCCCTTGCAGGCCATCATGCTGAGCATCTGCCTGCAGTCCATGGTGGATGAGCTAATGGTGAAGAAGTCTGGAGGCAGCATCCGCAAGGTGAGAGCTGGGGCTGCATGGTGTTTCCAGGGTGGGATCCCAACCTGCCCCTGTGACTTTTTGGGGTCTGGGCTGGGCCCCAAGTGCTCCCCTCAGGATGGGGCCAGCAGACAGATTCCCAGGGCCACTTTTAAGCCCCGGAGCTGCCTCCAGGGTCAGGGACCCTGCAGCTGAACCGAGCTCCTCCCTGCAGATGTTTCGGCGGCGGGTGAACGGAGCCCTGAGGCGCTCCGACAGCCAGCAAGCTGTGAAGTCGCCCCCTCTGCTGGTGAGTGGGGCCCCGTGGGCCTGGGCAGAGCACATGTGTGACCATGGGCTCTGCCGTGTGTTGGATAACAGAGTCCACTGCCCCCAGAGAAGCCACTGTCCCCTTGGCAGGGCTAGGGTAAACCCAGAGGACAGCAGGGCTGTGGTACCCTGCTCCCAGAGGACTGGGAAGGGAAGGAGGTCCTGGACTCACATCGGGGGAGCCTGACTCCCTGGGGAGTGGCCTGGCCTCATCCCAGGAGGGTGGGTAGTGGGATGGGTGGATGCTGTGTCCTACAGCCCTAAGCTCCTGACTGTCACGTCCCCACAGGACTCGCCCGACGCCTCCCGGGAGCCCATGGCCAAACTCTCGGTGAGTTGTGTGTGAGTGTGCCAGTGCCCTCAGGCTGAGCAGGAAGGGGAGTTAGGAGGGTCCTCTGTAACATCTCCCCTCTCCACAGAGCAAGCTCACCTCTGTCAGCCTGCGTGGGATCAGCCACTCCAGCTCTGCTAACGATGTGGGTGCTAACGACTTCCACGGCAATTATGCCTTTGAGGGCATTGGCGATGAGGATCTGTAGTGACCCCCTTCCCAGGACAGCCCCGCCCGAGTGAGGGCCTTTGCTGAGGAATGTACGACCTGCAGCCAGGTTGCAATCAACGTGCCTCTCACCTGCTACATCCACCTTCCCCTGCTCCCTGGGGCTGGGAGCTCACCCCCAGCCCACAGTTGCCTTTGGGGTGGGGGCAGCTGAACTCCTCCCACTGCTGGCTCCAGCTGGGAGACCCGAGCAGCACACCTGGGCAGAGCCCTGGAGCAGCGGTGTGGGGCCTGGCTCAGCATGGGAGGGGGGAGAGCTGACCCTTCCCCAGCCGGGAGGGCCTGGCCCAGCCTGGGGGCGGCTGCTCTGAGCGGCCCCAGGCAGGCTCCATGCCAAATTAGCGTTTAGGTTTGTGCTCCGAGACAGAGTGCAGTAAGCTGTCTCGGGGGGCTCCGTGCCGTGCCCCCCGCTCTAACCCGCTCATAGACGCCAGTGTAATCTAGGCTTGTAACCACGTATCTCCTGCTGCTCAGCCCGACAGAGCATTAATGGACAGTAACTGATGTTTACACACTGCAACGATGATTAAAATGGATCCTGATTGGTACTGAGCTGTTTGTTGGGGGGTGCCCGCTGTCCCAACCCTCCCCGTGCCAGCCCTGTGCTGCCTTCCCTGTGACAGAACAAGGCCCCCAGGGAGAAGAGCAGATAACAAAAGTGACTGTTTAATGCTTTTATACACAATATAAATTACACCGACCAGCATGGCAACAGCCATGGAACCAGTCCTGTCCTCCCCTCCCCCCCTTTCCCCAGACCCCAGCAGAGGAAGGCTCCGGCAGGCAGGAACAGGCAGGTGGGGTGGGTGGGGGCATGGCAGTGCTGCCGTGGGGGCAGGCGCCTGAGCTGCCGGTTGTGGCTTCACTGTCCTCTTCACCCTCCTCAGGCAGGACAGAGCTGCTGGAGGCCCTGGCGTAAGGCAGCCCTGCGCCCCTGCAGTCTCCTGCCCGTCCTCCCTCCCCCAGGGAGGGCAGGGGAAGAGGCAGCCCGGGCCTACCACTGGGCTAAGTGCTGTCTCAAGGCAGGGCCGTGCCCACAGCTGGGGGAGCCAGGAGGGCTTTGGCATTGCGTGGGTTCACCCAGCTCTCGGCCGTGTGGCCGTGGATCTTCTGGTGGCGCTTGTAATTGTCCCAGTGGCCAGTGGTGTAGGAGCAGTTTCGGCACTGGAAGGGCTTCTCGCCCGTGTGCCGCAGCATGTGCCGCTTCAGGTTCATGCTCTGGTTGCAGCTGTAGCTGCAGAGGCTGCACTGGAAGGGCTTGTCGCCTGAGTGGATGCGCCCATGACGCTTGAGGTTGGCCAGGTTGCCACAGGCGTAGTCGCAGAGCTGGCACTTGTAGGGCTTCTCGCCCGTGTGCACACGCTGGTGCCGCTTCAGGTTGTCCAGGTGGGCGGAGGCGTAGGGGCAGAGCGGGCAGGCGAAGGGCTTCTCCCCGCTGTGCGTCTTCATGTGCCGCGCCAAGTGGTTGGGGTAATGGGTGACAAAGGGGCAGAGGCTGCAGGCAAAGCCCTTGTCCCCGGCACCCTTGCGGGGGCTGGCGCCCGGCTCGGTGCCCAGCACTGCCAGGCTGCAGCGCCCGCAGACCTGCTCAGCCAGGCCCTCATCCTGCGCGAAGCCGTCGTCCAGCACCAGCCCGCACATGCGGCACGTGAAAGGGAAGAGCAGCTCGGGCAGCGCAGCTGCCTCCTCGCCCCGCAGCCGCGCACAGCCAGGCAGGAAGGGGCCGCTGCCGCTGCCCACGTGCAGGCTCAGCTCCGGCAGCAGCGGCTCTGTGGACAGACAGACAGGGCTGTGAGCAGGGTGGCACAGCACCAGCGCAGACTGGCTCTGTGAGGAGCCCCGGGGAGCCTGGCAGTATGTGACATCAGCTCGATGGCAGGACTGGTGCCCTGCCCCAGCCCCAGGGTCCTCCCAGCTGCTCTCCCCCCATCCCCATTTCCCTCCACTTTTACCTGGGTCCTTGTCCCGCCGATGCGGACCCTCGCCCTCGGGCAGGCGGTGGCTAAGCATGTGCCGCTTCAGGTTGCGGCTCTGGTTGCAGCGGTAGTCACAGGCAGCGCACTGGAAGGGCTTGTCCTGGCTGTGGACCCGCTCGTGGCGTTTGAGGTTGCCCAGGCTGCTGCAGGCGAAGCTGCAGCCCGTACAGCGGTACGGCTTCTCCCCGGTGTGCGTGCGCAGGTGCCGCGTCAGGTTCACCAGCTGGGCAGAGGCGTAGGCACACTGCGGGCAGGCGAAGGGCTTCTCCCCGTTGTGTGTCTTCATGTGGCGCTTGAGGTGGCTGGAGTAGTGGGAGGCGAAGGGGCAGAGCTGGCAGGAGTAGACGATGCGCTGGCTGCGGCCGCCCTCGGCGCCGGCGCACTGCAGGCAGCTCTGGCCCAGGCTGGCAGCCAGCTGCAGCCCGCACTGGCGGCAGGGCAGCGCGGCGGGGCCGGGCTCGCCCCCCTCCTCAGGGTCGCTCTCCACACTCAGCTGCTGGTACCCGGAGGAGCAGTCGTCGTCACTCAGGGCGTATGCTGGGATGGCGATCTTCCCCACCAGCGTGTCTGCTGAGAACACCGTGGGGATAGGGCGGTGTCAGCCAGGCTGGCCTGGGCACAGCCCCTCCACCTGTGCCCTGGTCTCAGAAGGGTCTGGGCAGCTATACCTACCCTGTGGCACCCAGTGGGAGCCCACTGCACTGCGCACTGCAGTGAGAAGCCTCATGGCCACAGTCTGCCCCAACACCCTGCTGAGGGCTTGTCCTGGGCACCTCAGGAAACCCTGACACTTCTGCATGGCTGGCCAAGACCCTGGCACCAGAAAGGGCAAGGGGACAGTGGTGGATCAAGCACCCACTGGCACTGCTGGGCCTGGTGGGTGGGAAGGTGGTGGGTGCAGCCCGACCCAGGTAGGAGAGCCGGGTGCCTATAAAGCTGGTGCCCCCAGCTGTGCCCCCCTCGCTGTGCCCCTGCCCCAGCCCCGCAGTTGGCAGCTGGTCATGCTCCCATGGCCGACACCACGGGGCTCCAACACCAGCCCCCTCCATGCTCCAAGCAGTGCCTTCTCCAGCCCCACACAGCACTGCTGTCCAATGGCAGTGGGGGGAAAGGCTGTGCCAGGCTTTCAGGGGGCACTTCCCAGCTGGGGACAGACTCATCCTCCTGCAGCTCCTGTGTCCCAGATGTACCCCCAGAGTGGTGCTCACGGCCGGAGGGGCAGCAACATGCAGCCCAAGCCTCACCACTACCAGCCACAAGCCGTGTCCTGCTGGCCCTGTCCTGTTCCTGACCTGCAGCCCTGGGGCCTGTCAGACCCAGCAGCTGCCTGTGCCCTGGAAAGCGGCCTAGGCCATCCCCTTGCTGCTGCCCATCCTGCTGGGTCAAGCTCCCAGAGCCCCAGGCAGGCAGAGAAGTTAGGCTGACCCATGCTGTGGAATGGGCGGTCCCTCCAGGCTCTGGGACCCTTCCACAAGGACTGCCTGGAGAACAGACTCCAGAACAGGGCATCCCGCCAGGGAACCCTCAGCCCTGCCTCAAGCCCTTTGCCAAGGGCCCCCCTGTCCCTTCAACTCAGCCCCACACCAGGGAGCCCCCTGCCCCCTCAGCCCAGCAGTGCCACAGCATCCCTGGAGCACCTTCCCAAGCAGCCGTGTCAGTGCTGCCCAGGCGGGACAGCCTGTCCAGCCTGTGTGCCCTGAGGTCCTGCTCCCGCTCCCGGCTGGGGCTGAGCGGGAGGACAGGGATTCCCGGCAGCTTTGGGCCCTGGCAACACCCATCTCCAGAGCAGCCGAGCGGCTGTCCCGGCGCAGGGAAGCACAGCCCCCGTCCACCAGCAGCAGCGCGGGAGCTCGGCACGGCCACAGGGAGCAGGGCCCAGCCCTCGGGGAAGCAAGGGGTCAGCCACGGGGCTGGGCACACCACACTCCCTTCTCCTGCCGTTCTGTCCCCACATCGCTCACTGCCAGGGGCAAGGAGTGAGGCTCCCGCTGCTCCCTGCGAGGCAGCTACATGGAGCTGAGCAGCGCTCGCTCCTCCAGCTGCCTCGGCCGGGGCTGCCCCGAACCCGGGGCACCGGGTCGGGGGTCCCGGGGCTGGGAGCGCCCCGCGCCCCACACAGGGCTGAGGGGGGCGGCGGGACGGGACCCTGCGGTCGGGCCCAGCTCCCGGGTGGGCAGCAGAGCCGAGCCTGGGGCTGGGCGGGGAGCGCATCTGGAGGAGCCCGGCCCCAGAGCGGCCGCGGGGACACGCAGTGCCCGGGACCCTTTCCGGTAGGGAGCGCTCGGGGGTCGGTGCCGAGAGGGCAGAGCCCACCCAGGGCCCCGCCGGGGGCCGGGCCTCGTCTCGTTGTAGGGGAAGCGCGGCCGGAGTCCGCGCCGGGCGGGCCCCCGCCAGGGCGAGCGCTGCCGGATGCGCCGAACGCGGGGCCGGTGCGGCCGGGCCGGGCCGCATCCCCGCCGGCGGCGCTGCCGGAGCGGGGCCGCGTCTCCGCGGGGGCCGCACGCACCTGGCGGTCCCTTCTGGCCACGGCCCAGCAGCAGGTCCCCGGACAGCACCAGCGCCGCTCCCGCCGTCTCCTCGGTGCCGTCCTCGGCGTCCGCTGCAGCGCCCCGAGCGCCGCGGGTCCCCGCCGGGCCGCCGCCGCCCCCCGGGCCCGCCGCGCACTCACCCTTCACCGGCTGCGGGTGGCTCTGCTTCCGCCGGGGCATCGTGGCGGGCCCCGGCGCCGGCCCGGCCCCGCCGCCCGCCCGCCCGCGGCCCGCCAGCCGCCCCCGCCAGCCCGGGCGGCCACCGCCGCCCCGCCTCGACCGGACACTTCCGCTTCCGCTTCCTCGGGAGCGCGGGGCGGAGCCGGAAGCGGCCGCGCGACCCGGAAGCAGGGCGGGCGCGTGCGCGGAGCCGCCACCGTCCCCCCCGTCCCGTCCCGTCCCGGCCTGGCGGGCACGGCACAAACGGCACCGGCACCGCCGGGCCGGGCCGCGGGACCGCCGGGGAGGCCCTGGGGGCGGGCACCGGGGCGCGACAGCGGCGGCTCCGCCCCTTCCGGGCGGCGGGAGGCGGGGGCGCCTCCGAGACCGGGACCGGGTCCGAGGCGGGCGGTGACGGTGTCTGTGCCCCGCCGAGGGCGGCTGCGTCTCCTCCTCCGCTGGCCGCCGAGCGCAGAGCCTGGTGAGTCCCGTGCCAGTGTCCCCGGGAGGTCAGAGCGGTCAGAGCTTTGTGTCTCGCCCCGTGCGGCGAAGGGCCGCTGGGTGCCCGGTGCCGCCGTGCTCCGACCGGCCCCGGAGGCCCCGTGGGTGTGCCCGGTCCGCGCCCGCAGCACTGGCCCCGGCTGTGTGAGCCGCGGCTCGGCCCCCTCACGGACCCCTGGGGTCCTTTGCAGGTCCCGGGGGCGCTGGATGTGTCGGGCTGTGGCCGTCCCGGGAGAGCCGTGGCCGTGCCGCGCCGCCAGCGATGATTCCCCGCTGACAGGTACAGCCTCGGCCGGCCTCCCGCTCTTCTCCCCCACTTAACTCCCGTGTCAGCCCGGTTTCTCCGAGCTCCGCCCTCGCCCGCTCCCGGGCATCGCTGTATCCCCTGGGGGGGAGGAGGAGCAGCCCCGCGCTCGGGCCAGCAGGGCAGGTGTGATCGGACTCCTTGGTCTTCCCCGAGGTCACTGGTCCCTCCCTCTTCCCGTGCCGGCGCTTCCGCGTCTGGCTGAGCTGCGGGAGCGCTGAGGAGGCAGCGATGCTGCCCAGGTGGGGAGGGCAGGGGGCAGCTTTGGGGTGTAGAGGAGGAAGGAGCGAGGGGAGGGACGGGCACTGCTGGCGGAGGGGTTGTGGTGTGGCCATGGACTCCGAGCTCCAAGTGAGGGAAAGCAGGCTCGGTTCCCTGCTGGAACTTAGCTCCTGGTCACCGAACGGGGTTTTGGGTCCCTTGGCACTGCAGGGGAAAGCCGTGTGTCACGCTGGGGAAGAGCCCCGGGCCGGGGAGGGGTGTGTGTCACTGCTCCTGCAGGATCTGGCTGTCACAGTGGCGCTGCTGTCTTCCCCACCCCGGGGATTTGGGAGTCCTGTGCCTCTGCACTTTGGTGCTGACCTGAAGGAGACAGGGTGGGGCAGGGCGGGCCGGGGCCCGTCGGCGGGGCACTGTCGGGGTCTCGTGGGTGCCGAGGACCCGTTCCCAGGGCCTTGCCCTCAGGAGCGGTTCCTCTACAGGCTGAGCGGCACCGACTGCAGCCGGGGATGGTTCCACCACTAACTGCGGGGAGGCCCAGGTAGGAGCCAGGCCATGGGGGCCACGCCGGGGCCGGCACGTCCCCGCTGCCCTCCGTAGCCCGACAGCAGCCGGCAGCCACTCTGAGGGCCACCATGGAGCGGCCCCCGCGTGTGCCCGGGCCCCGCTGGCTCCTGGGCTGCTTCAGGCGGGAGCCACAGGCCGTGCGGGAGGAGACGCTGCCGGAGCCGGAGGAAGCCGAGGAGACGCGCGTGGCGCTGTCCCCGGGCGAGGGCCGCTCGCTGGAGGAGTGTCCGTTGTGCCTGCTGTCCCAGCCCCCCGAGGCCTTTCCCACTCTGGCCTGCTGCGCCCACCGCTCGTGCCGGGCCTGCCTGGAGCAGTACCTGCGCCTGGCCATCACCGAGAGCCGCGTGCTGGTGTCGTGCCCGCACTGCCCCGCCGCGCTCCCCCCCGCCGACGTGCGCCGGCTGCTGCCGGAGCCCGCCCTCCGCGACAAGTACGAGGAGTTCCTGCTGCGGCGGCTGCTGGTGGCCGACCCCGGCACCCGCTGGTGCCCCGCGCCCGACTGCAGGTACCGCCGGGCCCGGTGAGGGAGCGGCGTGGGCCCCCTGCCCACTGCAGCGGCGTCCTGTGAGCCCTTCCCAGGCTCAGTCCCTTGTCACTCGGTCCCGTGTGGGTCTGGGCTGTGCAGGGACGTGTCGGGTCCCTGTCGGGCCCCAGAGCCTGTCTGCCAGGGCTGGTGTCCTTGGCTGCACCGGGCAGCTCGTGAACCGCGGGGCTGCGGGTGCTGGACGGGGCGGAGCCGTCCGTGCTGATGAGGGCGTGTCCCGGCTCCCCCGAGCTGGGGCTGTGTCTCCAGCTCAGCGCGGGGCCGGGACCTGCCACTGCCCCGCCACTGTGCCAGCTCCGACCCTTCTCCCCGCAGCTATGCTGTCCTCGCCCACGGCTGTGCCGAGTGTCCCCGCCTCACCTGCGGGCGCGAGGGCTGTGGCACCGAGTTCTGCTACCACTGCCGGCAGCCCTGGCATCCCGATGGCCCCTGTGTGCCAGCGCCACCGGCCTCTGGCCTGGCCACCCCCACAGCACAGCTGACCCAGCCCGAGGACTCAGCCCACGGTGAGGCCCCGGCCCAGGATGGGAGCAGCAGGGCCGGGATCTGGCACTGTTGGGTGCCTCTGTGCCTCCTGCCTCCGGGTCTGCTGGAGCCGGGGCTGCTGGCTGCCTCAGGGTTGTAGACCCTGTGCCAGTCGGGCTGGTGTGTGGCACTCTGGCACTCGTGGGACTTGGGGAGCCTGGGACAGGGCGTGTCCTGTCCTGCTCCCCCATCCTGTCTCATCTCCCCCCCCCAGCTGAGGCTGAGGACATCAAGGTCTGTCCCCGCTGCAGCGCCTTCATCATGAAGATCAACGATGGGAGCTGCAACCGCATGAACTGCACGGTCTGCGGGTGCCTCTTCTGCTGGCTCTGCCTGCGGGAGATCTCTGACGTGCACTTCCTGAGGTCAGTGCGGGCTGTGGGGCTGCCCCAAGTGGGGGCCCTGCCAGGAGCTCGGGGACTGGGCTGGGGGCAGGCAGGCCTGGCCCCAGGTTTGGGGCTGGCTGGGGGGAGCAGGGTGGTCTGTGCCACTCGGTCTGGCAGGGCTGAGGCCAGCTGTTGGCATTCCCAGGAGGCACCTGGAGCTCAGGGTTGGGGGAACCTGGCTGTCTGCTCCCCCGTGGGCCCACGGGTGTCCCCCGGCACAGGGCTGGGCTGTGCTGGTCTCCGCCTTGGCCCAGCCCTGCTCTGTCCCCACAGCCCCTCTGGCTGTACTTTCTGGGGGAAGAGGCCATGGTCGCGGACCCGGAGGATCCTGTGGCAGCTGGGCATGGTGCTGGGTGCACCCATGGTCATCTCCCTCGTCGCAGGCGTTGCTGTCCCTGTCATTACCATTGGGATCCCCATCTACATGGGTAGGAAGGTACTGGCAGGAGGTCTAGGAATCGCTGTGGTCCTGCTCCCTGCCGAGCCTGGCAGTCCATGGCCCCTGGCCTAGACAGACCTGCAGTGCTCCCCGCTGCCCATAGCACATCCCTAACTGCCCTCAGCACGTCCCTATGCCACCCCTGACTGGCCACAACCCCTCCTTGCCACGGCCCTCCGCTTTCCCCAGCACTCTCCGCCCGTGCAGGTGTGCTCAGTGTGGGGAGTTGGGTTTGGGGTGGGTGAAATGGAGAAGAGGTCTGGGGGCCTAGGGAGGGTTTGCAAGGACACCTGAGCTGTGGTGGCAATACTGTCATGGCTGCCTGTCCCTGAGGAGAGGGAGGAGTGTCTGGGTGGCTGAGGTTGCAGCTAGAGCTCTGCCAGGCTGGGAAGAGGCCACAAGGTCTTTGTAGAGCCCTTCATCTATCTTACCCTGCAGGTGCTGGGCCAGAGCCGGCGGAGCAGCCTGTCAGGGTGCCAGCAGTGCCTCTCTGTCACCAGCAGTGTCCTTCTCTCTCTCTTTGTGTCCCCCATCATAACAGCCATCACCGTGGGTGAGTGCAGGCTGGGGCCGAGGGTGCTGCCCTGCACTGAGCAGTGGGGCTGGGGAGTGGCCTCAGGGGATGTCTGGGACCAGGGGCACTGGGGCTGGACAGTGACTACCTGTCCACCCCCAGGTATCGGTGTGCCCCTGATGCTCACCTACGTGTACGGGACCGTGGTGCTGTCACTGTGCCGGAGCCGCTGGGGCTGTGGGGGTGGCCGCACATCTGGAGACGTTGGCATGGTAGAGCTGGAGAACCTGGCCAAGTGTGAGTCCCATGCCTGGCCCTGGCCCATGCCCTCCCTGCTCCAGCAGGGAGCAGTCCTTGGGAACAGGGTGCTCAGTGCTGTCTCCCTCCTTCAGTGAATGAGCTGTGGTCGGTGCTGCCCAGCCCAAACCGCAGCCACAGGCCAGGTGAGGACGGAACCCCAGACCCCACCGCCTCCCTCCCCAGCAGCAGCCACAGCCAGCGCCCCAGGCCAGCATGGGACAGCCAGTCAGCCAGCACGGTGGCACTGGCGGGGAGCATGCTGAGCGAGGGCCAGGACACCTCCGACAGGTGAGCAGGGTGGCCATACTGGGGGCTGCCACATCCCTTGTGAACAGCCGCCCCATGCAGGGACAGGTGCCGTCCCCCTCCCGGCTGCTGCCCTCAGGCTGGTGTCCATCCACAGGGAAGGCATCACCATCGAGGTGGAGGTGTCGGTTGAAGCGGTGCCGCGTCCTGCCCGGCAGCAGAGCCTGAGCAGCGCCCTGTCTGGACAGAGTCTCTCTGGGGACTCCCTGGGAGCTACCAGTGACAGGGGTAGCTCTGTGGGTGTCCCTGTGGAGTGAGAGGGTTGAGAGGAAGAGCCTCGATCCGCACACAAGCCCAGTGCTCTCCTGTGGCAGAGCCAGTCCCCCTCTGCGGGCACTCCCAGCCCCAAGAGGTGGGTCCCTGGTAAGTGTGGACCACATCCTGCACTGCTGCGCCAGCCCCAACTGCCCCCTCCCCAGAGGCACCACTGGGAAATAAAGCTGCTTTCCAAGGGTTTGTCTGTCTCCTGCAGCACAGTGGGGTAATGCCACAGGCCGTGGGTGGGGACCCAGCACATGGGGTGTGGAGTCTCAGGCAGTGGGGTCCTGCCTGTGGCCACTCTGACCCCATTGCAGCATCCTGGGGAGAAAAAGCTGCTTCTGGACATTTTACTGCTCAAAGTTGGGCAGTAACAGAATGCCAGAAGGGTTTGGGTTGGAAGGGACCTTAAAGCTCATCTATGCCATCCTGCCATGGGCAGTGACACCTTCCATTATCCCAGGTTGCTCCAAGCCCTGTCCAACCTGGCCTTAGACACTTCCAGGGATGGGGCAGGCACAGCTTCTCTGGGCAAACTGCTAATGGCCTCACCATCCTCACAGGGAACAATTTCTTCCCGACATCCTAATTCTGCCCTCTGTAGTGGGTCCTGTGCCACATCAAAGGCCCTTAGAGCTGCAGGTGTTTGCATTAACCTGCTGCAGCTGCTCAGGGAACAGACTCCAGGGTTTTGCTGTGACTGCCTGGCAGGTTCTGTCCTGGCAGCTCACCAGGAGGAGGTCACATGGAAGAGCACAGGTTTCCAGGAGCTGTGCAGGGAGGGGCCCTGATCACCTCTGCAGAGCCAGCAGAGGCACCAGTCCAGCTGCCACAGGGCCCTTAGGATGGTCAGAGCCCCTGAAGACCAGGGGGCCCCCCCAGCAGCAACAGACTGCTGCCCACAGGGCTTGTGGCTCCCTGTGGGATCCTGGGGCAGGTGGGACTGCTCTAGGCTTTGTGGGAAGGAGGGACTAGGGGGAAGAGCCAGTGTAGGAAACAGACACCAAGGGGCCAGTTGTGTGTAAAAGAAAAAAGAAAAAAAAAAAATAACAGCTCACCACAGATGCTCTTCTTTTCCAGTGGCTTGCCGGGTCTGTGGCTCTTTCTGCTGCACAGGGAGAGCCCACCTTTCCATCTGTGTTTTGCAGCCCAGGGACTTCACTCCTGCAGGAGCAGCCACAGGTATCGACACACCTTGTACGAGCTGTGCATCAGGGAGGTGTCCCTTGCTGCACCTTGTCAGAAGGTGCAGCTCAATGGGTGCTGCCTGCTGAGGGCAGGTGAGCTCAGTAGGGTGACTGGTGCCCCTGTTCCTTCAGACACAGACTGTCTCCAGAGGCTCGTGTCTGCTCTGAGAATCCTCAGCAGGATCCCTCATCCTGGGGGAACCGGGAACCACAGGCCAAAGCCCGGCAGTGCTCCAAGACCCCAAGGACAAATGTCCTTCCCCCCCACCTTCCTCATCTCCCCTTCCAGGAAAGAACCAAGGACCAGGAGCACAGCTGTGTTTTCCAGTCTTTTAGTTTGAAAAAAGTATTGATTGAAAGTGTACAACTGAACACGGCATGGCCGCAGCACCACCGCCAGATTGTTTCACAAATAAAAACAGAAAGGGCCTTAAATAATTGGGTGCAGATTAAAAAAATCTCAACAGTGAAAAAGTTCTTCCCTCCAAACAGAAATTCACAGGCACAGAAATGGCAACAACCATATGGAGACAATGGGGGGACATCCTCCTCCTCACCACAAGGCTCTGTGCTGTGGTGCTCCCGGGCGCAGCTCCATCCTCGCTCCCTCTTTGGAATGGTTACGGATGAACAGTGCGACATGCCCTCGCTAACCAGACCCGCCCCCCACCCCCCACCCAGGACACGGACAAACAAGGCCTCTGCTAAGGCTAAAAAAAGGACAAGACTTGGAGTCTTGAGTTCAGCATGGGTAAGAAATGAGAGTCTGGTGAGCACAGCCCAGTCCCTGGGCAGGCCCTGCTACTCCAGCTTGGCCTTCTTGGTGCTGTCCCCGCCGTTCTCCTCCACTGGTGCTGCCGCCTCCCCCAGTTTCCGCTTCCCGCTCTCAGCAGGTGGGTGTGTGTTACGGGGTTTGAAGCTGATGATGATGCAGGTCATGTTATCGCAGCCGGTGCCATCCCCTGAGGTGTCTGGAGCCAAGCACTGATCCAGCAGCTGGGGAGGGAAGGGGCAGGTCAGCAGAGAGCACAGACACACACTGGGACCACTCCGAGGCACCGGGCCCACTCCAATACCTGACAGTGGCTCAGGTTTGCCAGGCCAGGGCTGTGTGGGATGGGTTAAATGCTGTTCCCACCAGAGAAGGGACAGAAATAACCTCAGCAGCCCCAGGGTTCTGAATGTGGGCAGCAACTCCTTCGGCTGGACAGCACCCCTGAGGTCAGACACTGGCCCAGGTGCTCAGGGAACTGGGTCCCATTGCAGAGGTGTTTCTGCTCCTGCCCATTGTAGCCCATGAGCTGCAGACCCCTCAGTCCTGGATGAGCCCATGTGAGGGAGCAGGAGGGCAGAGCCAGGCCCTGACCTGGGACACAGAAATGCTGTGTTGCTGCACAGACAGCAGAGCTCCAGATTTTACCTCTTCTACAATGGAGGAGAGCGGCCGCAGGACTCCGTTCTCATCCTTTTGAGTGATCTTGGACTGGATGAAATCCACCACTTCCTGGCTGCTCATCACATTCCTGCAGAGCAGAGAGGTGAGAAGGGAGCACACATGCCAGTGTCCAACAGGCCTTCCCCAGGCCCAGCTCCAGAGAAAGACCAGAGAAGCGATACCCCAGAGGCACAACACTCACCAGATTCCATCACAGGCAATGACCATGAAGTCGTGGTCATCATTTATTGTCAGCACTTTGATGTCAGGCAAGGCAGAGATCATCTGCTCTTCCGGAGGGAGGTTCTTGTTCCGCTTGTAGAAGTGATCCCCTGCAGTGAGGAGGAGGATGTCTGGGATCGGGCAGTGCTGCCTGCCCTGCACAGCGAGCAGCACTGCCCTGTCACAAGGCCCCAGTGGGATCCAGCCAGTGCTCCCACAGCCTAGGATCACACTGTGGGCCATGAGGCAGAGGAACCACCCCAGGTTCCAGGTGTCAGCTCTGGCTAGCCCAGGGAAGACGGGCCTTGGCCAGCTCAGCCTCTCTTCACCACAAATCGAGTGCTGCTTCCCCACCTCCTGGGGCAACACCAGGCCAATAGCACACAGCACCTGTCACCTCTGGAGAGGCTGTGGCTGCCCCAGCCCTGGAAGTGTTCTGGACCAGGCTGGATGGGGCTTGGAGCAACCCGGTCTAGTGGAAGGTGTCACTGCCCATGGCAGTGGGGATTGGAACAAGATGATCTTTAAGTTCCATCCCATCCAAACCATCCCAGGGTTCACTCTGATTCAAAGCTCACTTGAGAAAACTGACCCTCAGCTCTAGCTAGCAGTTTATCAGGAAATCAGAGCCTATAAAGGGACTTCCGGGGCCACTGCAAAATAGCAGGTGGGAATGCCAGTGTCTCCCTAGATAATGTCTCTATCCTAAAGATGTTATTATCTCTTTACCCTGGGATAACAATTTCAGTGGTTTGGGTCCTTCTGCAGAAGTACAGGTGACCAAGTGGTTTAAACTGCCTCGAAGCCAGGTCCCCAGGAAGCAACACACCAAGGTCCCTCAACAGACAGAGAGCAGGAAAAGTCCTGTTTCCAAAGACAGCAGTCTGGTTTTGGGACAGTTTACATGAGCTGGTTTCTGACAACCCAGCTATTGGCACAATAGCCTGGGAGGTGCCAGGTGCTGCTTTCCACTGGTGTCCAATTGCTTCATGGCCATTTTCTCCCATGAAATCTCCCATGAAATTATAAAGAATAGACTCTACTCATCTGGTAAAAACTGTTGTATAACCTTGGTGGCTGGCAGTGCTGGAAGCACGGCTGTCTGAGGCCAGGCCTGCCAGCATCCCCCCTCCTGCTCACCGATGGCCCTGGAGAGGTTGAGGCCGCCGTTCACCCTCCCGTCCATGGTGACCTTGCCGCCAGCATTCTTTATCCTGGCCAGCTCCACCTCATCCTCTGGCTTGTGGTCATACGACATGTCGACGGCCTTGCCGCCCTCCGACACGACGCAGCGCGAGTCCCCGGCGTTGGCCACGATCAGCTGCTTGCCCCGGATCAGCGCCACGACAGCGGTGGTCCCGCTGTCCGAGCCGGGCTGTAAGAGACACAGGATTTTGGTGGGATTCCTTTCTCTGGCTCCATGTTGGGTCACTAAGGGAGCCAGCTCCAGCTGTGTCCCAGACCCCAGGGTGCTGCATCTCACCCCATGAGCACACACAGAGTGATGGAGAAAGCCCAAGGGAGTGTGAAACACCAGGAGGGTGTTCACTGAGGGGCAGGGTCAGCCAACAACTCCATTCCAGCTTCATGCAGCTCAGTGGATGAGGATTGCCTGGTGTTCCACATGTCCTGCCATACCCCCCACTCTAACATGCTGAATCCAGCCCCAGCCCAGCTCAAGCAGATTGTCACTGGAAGCCAGACCATCTCCCCAAAGGGAGAAATTGGCACCATGGAAGCCACATCCCCTTTACATGACCTCTGGGTCCCTGGCCCATCTGCCTGCACTGTCACAGGCTAAGGAGCTGCAGCCCTGACCTGGCGAGGAGCGATGCTGTGCCCTGGAGCAGCAGTGCCAGTGGAGCCCATCTGTTCCTGCCCCGTGGTCTCCCTCCACACCAGCCCCACAGCAATTCCACATACCCCACACTCAGAAGCAGGATCAGCCTCATCTACCTCAGCCTTCTGCCTGGATCCAGGCCCTTCCCTCAGCCTTTGCACAAACCCAGGCTGTCGGCAGCTCTCTCAGCCCCAGGAGAGCACATGGGGTGTTCTATCCCCACCTGAGCAGGAACAACCTCTTACTGAGTCTCCCAAGTGCCCCTGGCTCCACACTACACTGCAGAACACAAGAACAGGGTGTACCTCCTCTTTCCCCTCCATGCCTGGTAACAACATTTCCTCCTCTTCATCCTCATCCTCCTCTAATTCTTCAGTGTCATCTTCATCATCTTCATTCTCTACTTCTTCGCTGCTGTAACCATCCTCATCCTCACTGCACTCCTACAAGAAAGGAGTGATACCACAGGAGTCGCACAGGACACTCAGTGCCCTCCCCCCACAGGTCTCTCCATCCTGGGGACCGATGGTCAGGTCCCCCAGAGGTGTGAGGTGACCTGGCACATGTCCCCCACACCTGATGGCTACAACCAGAGCAGCTGGTGTCACTACAGCAGTGGATGAAGGGATGGTGCATGCAGCAGGACCCAGGGCTATTGGCTATGGCTGCTGCAGGATGAGAGTGTGTGTCCTTCAGGGTTATCTCAACAATCCCAAACATTCCCATGGGATGGCCTGAAAGGATCAGCCTGAAACACCTGCTCCTAGGACACACCCAGGATGAGTGAGGGGCTCTTCTCAAGTACCACCGTAAGCAATACATTCTGCCCAGCCAGAAGGCCACTCTGTCCCAGTGCTGTTTCCTACCTCACTGTCTTCCTCCTCTTCCTCAACCTCATCTGACTCATCCTCACTGTCCTCAAAAAATTTGGATTTGGTTGTGCGCTGGGGCTTTCCCGTGGAGGAGCAGGAGGGCCCGGCCTCCCCAGTAGAAGAGGTGACGGCCTCGTCACCTTTGCCTAGTTCAGGCTTCTGCAGAGCAGGGCTGTTGCCTCCAGCGCTGGCTTTGTCTGAGGTGGAGGAAATACCCGTGATTTCTTCATCTGGCTTCCCGTTCTTCCTCTCCTTGTGGTCAGGAAGCTCCCCTGGGTCAGCCTCTCCGTTCATATTTGACTCCCCGTCATGCTGCTTGCCTGTCCCCTCCGCAGTGTTATCCCCAGCTGCAGCTACAGACTTGGCTTTGAGGTTCTTGGTGCAGTTTTGTCCATAACGTGTGAGAAGCTCCTCAATGGTCATTGTGGCTTCTTCGTGCAGAAGAGCAGCTTCCTCATTATCCACTGCAAATGGAAAGGAGAGGAGGTGAGAACAGAGAGGCTCAGAGAGCAGGATACCCACCACGCTGGGTCCAGTGATGAGCTGCCCTGGCTAAGGCTGCTGCTGCAGAGTTCCAGCAGGGCTCCCCAGGCTGACTGTGAGCACACAGCCAGGCCTGTGCTGTCCCAGGTGCTGCAGGTGAGCAGGATGAAAACAGCAGGGCCACAGTTCTGACCACGGCGCAGCCTGGCAGTCCTCCCAGTGCCCCAGCCTCTGGGCTCCCTGGCTGGCTGACTGACAGCAGCACAGAACCTTTACATCAGCTGCATGGCTGGGGGTAGAGCCTCGCTTTCCCGAGCACGGGCTCCTGGGGAGCCATGGGGAGGCAGACTTGCTGCCTCCACATGCAGGTTTGGTCAGTAATGCTGCAGGACAAGAAGAGAGTAGTTGCTCCATGGGCCAGAAACACT